CAGCCAAAATTATTAAAAGGACAAACTGAAGGACAATCATAATAGCTAATTATCTTAGGCAAATAGTAACTATGAAAAAAAAAGTACAATCAGGCTGTCTACTCGATTAGAGTGATAAGGATAATTCCAGGACTGTCTTCATTATGAGTGAAAGACTGTGGAGCAGGAATACCTTCATAGGAAGCAATTCTAGAAGACTGAAAACTGGACAGGGTAAAACTGTGGAGTCTACATTGTTTCAGGGGAGAAAGGAATTACATTGGGTTTATCTAGTCTAATCAGGATTGTAATAGACGAGATGGGGGTCTTACAATGAGGAGCTGTCATAATAAGAGGCTACTATAACTAGATAAAGAGCCAGGCCACTCCACCCATGAAGTTCCCCCTTTAAAAAAAAAAAAAAGAAGAAGTTGGCACTGTTGATGAGGTCACACTAGTTCAGGACAATGAAGGCTAGGAGGGATGATCATAAAACTATGATTATGAATGGCACATTCACATTGAATCCAGCTATTTTCCTCATCCAAATTTGAAACACTTGGCCAGAGATGCCTTTATAAACTTGAACTAGGTAACTACTTTACATCAATTATAAAGGAACATATTACACAGGAAAGGTGGTATAGCAAAATACCTGAGAACATGAGCTCTGGAAGTCAGACTGCCTGTGTTTATAACCCAGCTCTGCCACTTACCAGCTGTGTGACCTGGGGGGCAAATTTCTTAATGTCCTATATCTTGGGTTCCTCAAATGAAAAATGGAGATAATAACAGGACCTATCTCACAAATTTGTGGTGAAGAATATAACACATGAAGATACTCAGAAAAAAAAGGGTCTGGCACATGGTAAGCACTCAGTAAATCTAGCTATTAATATGCTTCTAGAATTCATTGCAAAAATCAGGAAACAAATTGATTTTTTAAAGGTTCAAATATATTTAGGAACGGGAAATTAATAGTTGGCTCCTAACAGAACTGGGACATACCCAACTTTAAGGTTAGTGATGTCTGGATAGGATGCACCCGTAAGGCAATGCCCATTTTCCATAAGTTTTTAACTCTAGAAAGTAATGATTACCACCTTTGATAACCCTTTATTCATTACTTTTGAAAAAGGCATAAAAGCAATATGAGAAAATGGGATAGAAAAGAGAGAATCAGATTTGCAGGCAAGGTAATGTTCTCAGAAATACCACTGGAATCAGATGTGCTAAACTGATGACGTTGGCTGAGGTCTTCTAGGATTTCACATCTATTAAAAAAGGTTTGGGGGGTGGGAGGGAGTCCCAGTACTCCACCTTCAGTTATGGCACCTTCCTCTTCACCCACTAAACTCCACAAAGGCCAGGCCACTTCTAGACCAGGCCAGGCTCTTTTTTGCCTGAGGGCCTTGGCAGGTTAATCTCCCTTCTGTTTGGAACATTATAACTCCCTCACCACCCACCTTGTGACTACTTCTTCCTCATCCTTTAATTCCCAACTTAAAAGTTACTACTTCTGATCCCCTTATTTAAAGTAGGTCTCTCTTCTTATTTTCTGTCTCAGCACCTAGTTGGCTTCCTGCACAACCTAGTACTTATCACGATCTGTAATTACTTCATTTGCTTATTTATTTTTAATGTCTTCCCCACTAAATAGCTCCATGATGACAGAGAACATCTTTATCACATCATTTTCAGTTAAGCTTAAACTGGGACTAGCACGTAGTAGACACTCAATGTCTGCTGAATGAATCATGAATCAATGACCCTAAGGCCCCCTTTAGCTAAAATCAATAACTAGTATATAATAGAACAAAAAAATATCCAGTGTAAAGGTGGAGGCTTTTATTTATGGGTCTAGGAAATACCTAAGTAACTCCTCACTATGATCAAGCTAACTAAATGGCTCCATTACAAGACGTTTAGTCAGAACTTGACTGATGTAATGTACTAGTGACTAGCACCTTCCTCAAACAGTGACTCTGTTAGTTTGCTTTCAGATTGGCCTTATTCATTTTAACAGTTGGAGATCTAGGCCCAACCTTCTAATAATGGATTGGCTACGTAAGAATTACCTGAGGAGCTTATTAACAATACAGATTTCTGGATCAAAACTCCAAAAGATTCTTATTAAGTACTTGTGTAATAAGACTCTAGAATCCATACGTTTAAAACTTTGCAGGAATTTCCTGGAGGTCCAGTGGTTAGGACTCCATGCTTTCACTGCCAAGGGTGAGGGTTCAATCCCTAGTTGGGGAACTAAGATCCCGCAAGCTGTGCGGCGTGGCCAAAAAAACTTTGCTTATTTTGAATAGAAAATATATGTATGTCTTCAGCGTCAAGTTCCCCTTTTCTTCTCTTTTTCTTTCACTGTGCAGCATGTAGTTTCCCCGACCAGGGATCAAACCTGTGCCCTCTGCAGTGGAAGCACGGAGTCCTAACCATTGGACCACCAGGGAATTCCCTAAGTTCCTCTTTTCATAAGCTACCACTATTAGCAATTTTCTTATGTATCTTCCAGATAATTATTTGCCTAAACAACCATGTATCCTTTGCTTTAAACACACAACTGCATATTTAAAGAACTGTTCCAACTTCATTTTTTCTATTCCCATTTAACAATATATGTTGGGGGCTTCCCTGGTGGCACACTGGCTAAGAATCTGCCTGCCAATGCAGGGGACACGGGTTCGAGCCCTGGTTCGGGAAGATCCCACATGCCGTGCTCCGCAACGAGAAGCCACCACAATGAGAAGCCCGCGCACCGCAACGAAGAGTAGCCCCCGCTTGCCGCAACTAGAGAAAAATCCATGCACAGCAACAAAGACTCAACACAGCCAAAAATAAAATAAAATAAAATAAACAAAAAACAATATATGTTGGAAATGAAGTTATCTGTATCTTTAACAAGCACCCTAGGTGATTCTGATGTGAAGCCAAATATAGGAATCACTCATTGCCCCAGGGTTAAGAGATTAAGTTCAACCCACTAAGGCACATTAGAAACTCAAGGACACTGAAACTCAAAAGCAGCCCTGCTTACTTGATCTCTGCCCTCTTGTCTCACAGATATGACATGAACTAAAACATTCTCTAATGTCTCCATAGAAGCCAGGAAATACTAGCCATTCAAATGGATGTTGCCAAAGCTGTTCAATTTTCAATTCCCAGAATCCTTTCCTGCCCAACATCATCTGAAATCACAAACCTGACAATTCCTATGTTACACAAGACATTTTGGTATTTGGGTTATAAAGAGGTTTGATCCATGTTGAACTAGGGCTGATTTTCTCTCCTGGCAGTTAAGTAGTTTAATGGAGCACAACAGAAATACTTCCCTTACTAATCCTTACTGACACAACAGCAACCAATCCTCCCCCAGAATTGCTTTCTTACCACCTGGGCAAAAGCAATTAACTTAGAAGCTGTTGAGAAGACCGCACTGTCAGGCGGAACTTGGTGAATTCTTGAGTTCGGGCTCCAGTAGACCTGACTTCACTTCTACCTGGGGGCAACGGCTGGGCCCCTGTGCAGCTCTAGCTTTCTCTCCCCACCTACCCCAGAGACTGCACAAAGAGTTTCATTTTGGCACGGAGGGAAGGCTCTCCTCCGCAGTGTCCCTTTCACCACGAGGGGCACCGCGCGGCAGGCATCTTCACCTCCACTCCACAGCGCCGAGGAAGGAGTGTAGGGGGCTCCCCAAGCGAGTCAGGAAACCCACGGGGACCCAGCGCCGGCTTCCCCCACCTCCCAGCTGAAGTGGCTCTGAAGGTCTAGGGGAGAGCGCGACTCCTTTATCCCCTCTCCGTGGATTCAAACGTGATGAGGGCCAAGAGGGGCTTCGGGGGCCCAAACCTCAGACCCACACCTTCTCTACTGGGGCTCTTCTCCATCCTCTGGGCCTTCCCCTGAGCCATGGCCCAGGCCTCCCCACCTCGGCCGGCCGTCTCGGCGCCCTCCGGCCCGGCTCCCGCCCTCCTTCCCGCCCGCCCCCAGCCCCTCACCCAGCATGATGGGGCTGAGCCGCCGGGCCAGGCCCTTGGACAGGTCGTACACGTAGAGCTTCACGGGATAGAGATTTGGCGGCTCCATCGGGACCCGTGGCGGCTGCAGCCACTAAGTCCCTCAGGCACCCGGCAGCTGCTTGGACCTTCCCGTACCCGACGGGGGAGGGGAGCGGAGGGAGCGGGGAGACCGAGCCCGGGCCCGGCCTGAGGGGCGGGGTAGAGGTCGCCCAGCGCTGCTCGGGCCCCCGCACCCGCCACCGGCAACGACTACCGTGAGGTGACAGAGCGGGGACCGGCCGGCTTCGCGCGGAAGACTGGGCGGGGGCGGGGGCGGGAGCGGGGGCGGGGACGCGGGCGGGGACGCATTCTCGCGCATGTGCGTACCGTCCTGACGGGCGGCGAGGGGCGGGTTTTCCCAGGGGGCGGGGCTTCGCGGACGGGGTGGTGTTAGTTCGGGACGGGTGTGGGAAGCGCCTGCGAGAGTGGGCGTGTCACCTGGACGCGAAAGGCGCGCGCTATGCGTGATGACGTAAGGGGCGTTGATTGGGAGCGGGAACAGGAGCCTGCGCGTGTGCGGCGCCCCGCCTTCTGCCCAAATTGATCTCTTCATTACGCTCAAGGTAGGTAAGAATGGGGCTGAGTTTTGTGTTTGTTGCTCTCTGCCAGGGCTGGCTTCATTTTGCTTTGCCCACACAGCCTTGCGCGTCCCCGTAGCCTCATCGTGGGGCAGCGTCAGCCAGAAGTGTGCGGACCCGAGGGGTGGAGACGGCCTCTGATCCCTGTTCCTTCCTCCGAGGGGAGGCGCACCCGGCCTTGGAGGCCCGCCTGCGTTTGAGACCCCACTGGGCATAGCTGGCTGAGGAGTTGGGGGAGATTTGGGGGCGGGATGAGGACAAGTGGGTCTGCTAAAGGACGCAGTACACTGGACCGGGAATCTCTCAAATCCAGATGATGCCGGAGCTCTTTCGCTCAGGCCCGTGGCGCAGGCAGGCTGGGCAAGTGTCGCGGTCTTCGTACTGCCAGGAAGCTCCGTAGCCGCCGACGAGACCAGGAGTGGCATGATAAACAGTACAAAAGAGCCCATTTGGGTACAGCCCTGAAGGCCAACCCTTTTGGAGGTGATTCTCATGCCAAGGGAATTGTGCTTGAAAAAGTAGGGGCCAAACAGCCAAATTCTGCCATCAGGAAGTGTGTCAGGGTTCAGCTAATCAAGAATGGCAAAAAAATCACACCCTTTGTACACAATGATGGTTGTTTGAATTTTACTGAGGAAAATGATGAAGTTCTGGTTTCTGGATTTGGTCGCAAAGGTCATGCTGTTGGTGACATTCCTGGAGTCTGCTTTAAGGTTGTCAGAGTAGCCAGTGTCACTCTTTTGGCCTTATACAAAGGCAAGAAGGAAAGACCAAGATCATAAGTTTTGATGATGAAAGCACGATAGTAATAAATTTTCATATGCCAGATGATGCTGGAGGCGGGACTGGACCTCCAGGTCAGGCTGCCCCAGCACACCCGTCAGAGAGGTCATTACGGGCCACTGGCCCTGAATTGTCCCTAAGGGATAGCTAAGGTGAGACTATTTCAGGAATGATCCCCATGCCCTTTTACCTTGCATCTCAATTACCAAGCTCTCCAGGCAGCAGGATCCAGCATCCACGTTCCTCAGCAGTAACATGTAGCTTTTAGGACAGACCTCAAAGAAGCCTAGGGGTCGATAACTTTTAGGTTTAAATTTGGTTGTTACTGATCTCCACTTTCTTTCATCTTGTGAGCAGTAACCAACATGTCAGGGTGGGAGTCTTATTACAAAAATCAGGGTGATGAGGAAGAAGAAGATCAAGAGGAGGGCCTTGAAGAAGGTGGTAAGTGACTTTCATTAACATGTACCCTTGTGTGTGTGGAAGAAAGACTTTCCCTACTTGTCTCTGCTGGGTGATCTTTGCTGTCTTGTGGTCCATGCTTCTCTCCCCAGAGAATCTCCAATACTTTTCTCCCTTTGAACTTTGCAGAGCTACCCTAGGCTCTTTTATTCAGGTCCTACTCTAGTTTATGGAACATTCCTAGCCTTAAACTTTTGCTGGACACTGGTAGATTGATCTCCAATAAATGACCCTGAACATTGGTATCCTGTGTCACCTTAGGTGACTCAGGTAAGACCCTTCCTCACCCAGGAAAGTAGTTTTCCTCATTCTTGGACCTCAGTGTAAAAATGCTTTCACCCTTCAATAACTGCAGCAACCAAAGAGTATACATTAGCAACACAGTTACAAGAGTCATTCCCTCACCTAGCCTGCAGGTTTGGGAGTATATGTTCAGACAACACAGTAACACATAGGACAAAGGAAGAGAAATAAGGGGTGCCTGTACTCTACATACTGGTTAATTTAAGTCCTGGGTAGAAATTTTTAAAGTATTTTTATTTTTTAAAAGTAGGAAAAATATATTTTTTATATATTTTATATATTTTTTATATTTATTTTTTTATTAAAAATATTTTTTATTTATATAAAAAATAAAACAGAATTCAGTAATGTATGTAATCTACCACCCTAACACAACCACTACTAGCATTTTGGCATTTTGCATATTTCCTTCATATATCTTTCTTTATATTTTGTAACTATATATAGTTTGTTTTTGTCTGATTTTTTATATGGTTGTAATCATAGTGCATATATTTTTTTCATTTTAATTTACATTTTCAAAATTTACATCTTCAAAAAGAATTTTAAACATATATACATAGTTTTGTGTTCTGCCTTTTTTTCTTACTGTATTATAGATATATCTTTCCATGTAACTGCAAATATAGCCTCTATAAATCATTTTAAATATGCTATAATTTGTTCATTCTACCTTTTGTTGGACATTTTAGTTTTCAGTTTCTTTAATAAACAACATTGTGGAAATTTTTGCATAGGGTTTTTCCATATTTTATTTTCTTAAGATAGATTCCTAAGAAGTAGAGTTCACTGGCTCAAGGTAGAATTTTTGTTTAAGGCCCTTGACACGTATTGCTGTATTGCTTCAGAAAAGATGGGTAATTAAATTTACTGCATTAGGAAGCAGCATCGTCAAAAAGGGAGACAACCAGATATTATATGCCGTTTTATGAAAAACTCAACATCACCTATAATGTAATCATGCCAGAAAAAAAAAACCAAAACCCAAATCCAATGAAGCCTCTCTAGGTCCTTAGTAGAAAAGACAGAGGACTATGTTAATCTACACCAAAAGAATGCAGTCAGCAAAATCCAGAAGGTGGAAAACTATATGACATAATATCCAGGTTTTTCAGCAAATAAATTATGAGACAAAAGACAGAGGGGGTATCTACAGATTATAAGAGGCTTTAAAAACTTTTGTTTTTTTTAAAGTCAAAACCAGTGTTTAGGAATGTTGGCTTGGATGATTATAAAGAAAAAAATGAAGTGATTACCAAAAGTCAGGATGGTGATTACTCTTGGGAGGAAGGTGGGTGTTAAAATTGGGAGGCGACCTGGAGAGGGCTTCTGGGGTGACTGGCAAGATTCAATTGCCTGATGTGCATGGTGGTTTTAAGGGTGTTCACTTTTTTTCTTGTTTTTTTGGCTGCATTGCGCAGCTTGTGGCTTGCGGGATCTTAGTTCCCTGACCAGCAATTGAACCCGCGCCCTTAGCAGTGAAAGCATGGAGTCCTAACCACTGGCCCACCAAGAAATTCCCTAAGGGTGTTCACCTTAGGGAATTCCTCAGATTATAATTTTGCTTAATGGGCTTTTCTCTATTTGTTTTATTTTATTTTATTTTTATTCTTTTTTTTGAAATTTTGGGGTTTTTTTTTTTTTTTGACATGCTTATGACGGATGATTTAATTAATTAATTTGGTTGTCCCGGGTCTTAGTTGCGGCAGGCAGACTCCTTTTTTTTTTTTTTTTTTCCGCGGTACATGGGCCTCTCACCGTTGTGGCCTCTCCCGTTGCGGAGCACAGGCTCCAGACGCGCAGGCTCAGCGGCCATGGCTCATGGGCCCAGTTGCTCCGCGGCATGTGGGATCTTCCCGGACCCGGGCACGAACCCGTGTCCCCTGCATCGGCAGGCGGACTCTCAACCACTGCGCCACCAGGGAAGCCCTGGCAGGCAGACTCCTTAGTTGCAGTTCAGCAGCTCCTTAGTTGTGGCATGTGAACTCTTGGTTGCGGCATGCATGTGAGATCTAGTTCCCTGACCAGAGGTCAAACCCTAGCCCCCTGCGTTGGGAGTGCGAGTCTTAACCACTGCACCAGCAGGGAAGTCCCTCTGTTTGTTTTATATGAATAATAAACATGATAAATATAAAACAAGGGCAAACATTTCCTTCTATTTTTTTCCCCATAGGAGATTATAAATATTCAGGAAGAGATAGTTTGATTTTTTTGATTGATGCTTCTGAGGCCATGTTTGAAACTCAGGATGAAGATGAGTTGACTCCTTTTGACATGAGCATCCAGGTAAGACTACCTTTCATTTAATTAAGCAAACAACAAAAAGTATCAACACCACTTTAAAAAATATGGAGACTTCCCTGGCGGCACAGTGGTTAAGAATCCGCCTGCCAATGCAGGAGACATGGGTTCAATCCCTGGTCCAGGAAGATCCCACATGCCACGGGGCAACTAGGCCCATGTGCCACAGCTACTGAGCCTGTGCTTTAGAGCCCGCGTGCCACAACTACTGAAGCCTGTGTGCCTAGAGCCCGTGTTGTGCAAAAAGAGAAGCTACCGCAATGAGAAGCCCACGCTCCGCAACGAAGAGTAGCCCCGGGGCTTTCCTGGTGGCGCAGTGGTTGAGAATCTGCCTGCCAATGCAGGGGACACGGGTTCGAGCCCTGGTCTGGGAGGATCCCACATGCCACGGAGCAACAGGCCCCGTGAGCCACAATTACTGAGCCGGCACATCTGGAGCCTGTGCTCCGCAACAAGAGAGGCCGCAACAGTGAGAGGCCTGCGCACCGCGATCAGGAGTGGCCCCCACTTGCTGCAACTAGAGAAAGCCCTCGCACAGAAACGAAGAGCCAACACAGCCATAAATAAATAAATAAATAAATAAATAAATAAGGCAAAATTCCTTTAAACAAAAAAAAGAGTAGCCCCCGCTTGCCGCAATTAGAGAAAGCTCACACGCAGCAACAAAGACCCAACGCAGCCAAAAATAAATAAATAAATAAACTTAAAAAAAAAAAAAAGAGTAGCAGTGTTGGAGAACAGGCCCATTTTATTTTGGGTTTGAACTTCCGACCCTGGGACTACACTGCTTCCACCTTCTGTGTTAGCCCTGGTAGCAGAAGTGGGCTCCTCTTTCTATAGAGATGTCAGTGTAAAGGAAGGAAAGAAGTTCCAGCTATTATGGTGTGGAGATGAGTCCTTTTGTAGTTGAGTATTACCTGTGGTTGAAAAAGATTATTACAACAAAAAGACAAACAACCCAATTTAAAAATGGGCACAAAACTTGAATATACATTTCTCTAAAGATGTACAAATGGCCAAAAGCACATGAAGAGATGCTCAATATTTTTAGGTATTAGAGAAATACAAATCAAAACCACAATGAGGTATCATACCCACCCACTAGGACTGCTGTAATTTTAAAAAAAAAAGAAAGGGACAATAAGAAGTGTTGACAAGGATGTAGAAATTGGAACTCTCATACATTGTCGGTGGGAATGTGAAATGGATCAGCTGCTGTGGAAAACAGTTTGGCAGTTCCTCAAAGAGTTAAACGTAGACTTACATGAGCCAGCAGTTCCCCTCCTAGGTGTTTACCCAATTAAATAAATAACAGCTACTCAGATCTTGATTCTGCCACTTACAAACTGTATGATATTGGAAGAGTTGCTGAAGCTCTTGATATGTTTTCTCATCTGTAAAATGGAGATAATAATAGTACCTACTTTGGGCTTCCCTTGTGGCACAGTGGTTAAGAATCTGCCTGCCAATGCAGGGGACACAGTTTCGAGCCCTGGTCCGGGAAGATGCCACATGCCGTGGAGCAACTAAGCCCGTGCGCCACAACTACTGAGCCTGCACTCTAGAGCCCGCGAGCCACAACTGCTGAAGCCCGCATGCCACAACTGCTGATGCCCACGCACCTAGAGCCCCTGCTGCGCAACAAGAGAAGCCACCGCAGTGAGAAGCCTGTGCGCTGCAACAAAGAGTAGCCCTGGCTTGCTGCAATTAGAGAAAGCCTGTGCGCAGCAACAAAGACCCAGTGCAGCCAAAAATAAATGAATAAATACATTTATTAAAAATAAAAAATAAAATAATAGTACCTACTTTGTCAAATTGTTATGAGGATTAAATATTTTTACTTTTTAAATTGAGGTATAATTCACATAACAAAATTAACTATTTTAAAGTATACAGTTTTAAGGTATTTAGTCATTCACGTCATGCAATAATCACCACCCCTATCTCATTCTAAAACTTTTTCAGTGGATATACAAAATGTTTATATATACAGTAGAATATTAGTCATAAAAAGGAATGAAGTAGTGATACATGCTACAAGGTGCATGAACCCTGAAAACATTACATTAAGTGAAAGAAGCCAGGCAAAAGGTCACATGCTGTATGATTACATTTATATGAAGTATAGAATAGATAGTCCATAGAGAATGCAGGTTGGTGGTTACCAGGTGCTGCAGGGGAGGGAGCAACTGCTTAATTGGTATGGGGTTTGCTTTTGGGATGATAAAAATGTTTGGGAACTAGATAGAAATGGTGGTTGCACAACATTGTGAATGTACTAAATTGAACACTGAATTGTTCACTTTAAATGATTAATTTTGGGGCTTCTCTGGTGGTGCAGTGGTTGAGAGTCCTCCTGACGATGCAGGGAACACGGGTTCGTGCCCCGGTCTGGGAAGATCCCACATGCCGCGGAGCGGCTAGGTCTGTGAGCCATGGCCACTGAGCCTGCGTGTCCGGAGCCTGTGCTCTGCAACGGGAGAGGCCACAACAGTGAGAGGACCACGTACCACAAAAAAAAAAAAAAAGATTAATTTTGTTATGTGAATTTCACCTCAATTAAAAAGTTTAGTATTTCTTCATAGAGAAGAATTTTTAAGAATTTATTGTACATCTCATTTCTCATATTTCTGGAGTTTGGAACCAAACAGAAGCTTCTCATATCCTAATTTGTACACAGACAGTTCTTGCAATTGACAAGTCAGAATATCTTGCATCTAAAAAAAGAATTAATAAAAACAATTCTTAACTTTAAAGCAGTGGTTTGCAAACTTTAACCTACATCAGAATCACCTGCAGGGCTGTTGACACAGATTGCAGGGCCTTACCCTGCAATCAGAATTTCTGATTCTATAGGTCTAGAGGAGGGACCAAGAATTTGCATTTCCAACAGAGCTCCCAGGTGACGCTGATGTTGTTTGGAGATCACTCTTTGAGGAGCACTGCTTTAACCTTTTTTGGACCATGGACCTCTTTGAAGATGTGATGAAGGCTATGTACCCTCTCCCCAAAAAGATACAGTTCTACATGTAATTTGAAAGGGTTCATGAAATGCTAACGCCTAGAGAACCCAGAAGCAACTGTAGTATTATGTAGTGAATAAGTGAAACATTCACCGATGAACGTAATGTATTTGATAAGGAGCAATGAAAAAACATTTTCTAAAATTCTATTTTAGTTTGTGTGTGTGTGTGTGTGGGTGGGGAGGGGTGGTTAATAGTAGAACCTAAAGAAGCCCTCACTGGGACTTCCCTGGCAGTCCAGTGGTTAAGACTTCCACTGCAGGGGCACAGGTTTGATCCCTGGTCAGGGAACTAGATCCTGCATGCTATAACTAAGATCTCGCATGCCGCAACTAAAGATCCTGCCCAGCATAGCCAAATAAATAAATAAATATGAAAAATAAATATATAAACAAATAAATAAAAAGAAATGATTGCTTGCCATGAAGATAACTGTCAATGACTAGACATACCATAAGTTCTGCATTTAAGGAGAGAATTGCTATGGAGGAAGGCCAGGTAGAGTCTCAAGCAGGATATGGAGGGAGGTCACCATTGTTGGTTTATTCCTCAGTTTTGCAGAATCAGAAACTTAATTTTGTCAGTACCCCCAGAATTATAGGCCACCAGGACTGACCACTTATGAGACACTGATTTACTAGATATGGCTTTAGTTTATATTTCCTGGAATACTGATGTGTTTAATTGTGTAATTAGGCAAATTTTATTTCAAAAGTTGCTTTTAGTAGGTATAGATTTATTTTCCATTATTTATTAATGTCACATATACTAACATTCACTTAAACCTTTTATATATGTAATTATTTTATATATGTAAATTTTGTTTCTTGGTATCAAGCTACTTGAGGAAAAGAGACTTCCCTGGTGGTCCAGTGGTTAAGACTTTGCCTTCCAATGCAGGGGGTGTGGGTTTGATCCCTGGTCAGAGAGCTAAGATCTCACATGCTTCAGGGCCAAAAAACCAAAACATAAACAGAAGTAATATTGTAAAAAATTCAATAAAGACTTTAAAAATGGTCCACATTAAAAAAAAAAAAAGCTACTTGAGGAATGATCAAATGGCCTGTTCAAACTCAGCCAATTAAGTAAGTGACATCATTGGGACTCAAATCCACGTTTTCCGATTCTAGTGCTGGGCTTTTATTGATTTTTATTTCCCTATAGCAGAGTTTCCTTCCAGAGTATATACATGTTTTTTTTTTTTTTTCGGTACACGGGCCTCTCACTGTTGCGGCCTCTCCCGTTGCAGAGCACAGGCTGAGGACACGCAGGCTCAGCAGCCATGGCTCACGGGCCCCGCCGCTCCGCGGCATGTGGGATCTTCCCGGACCGGGGCACGAACCCGTGTCCCCTGCATCGGCAGGGGGACTCTCAACCACTGCACCGCCAGGGAAGCCCTACATGTTTTGAATTCTCTGATTTCTTATTGTAGGGACTGCTTATATGTCTGTTGTATACTTAACCACACTTTGCTTTGTGTTATACATAATATAAATGACCATCACCCTCACTGGATTATGAGTTTCCTGAAGGTAGGGGTCACGCCTTACTCTAATGCCATGTACAAATTCAGCAAATATATATTGAGTGCCCTACTATGTGTCAGGCACCTGTGGAGCTTAAGTTTAGTGGTACGTAGTTAAATATTAATTGAAATTTTATGTTTGTTTTTTCAGTGTATCCGGAGTGTATACACCAGTAAGATCATAAGCAGTGATCGAGATCTCTTGGCAGTGGTGTTCTATGGTACCAAGAAGGACAAAAATTCAGTGAATTTCAAAAATATTTACGTCTTGCAGGAATTGGATAATCCAGGTCAGTAGTATTCTAAGATCAGCTTTTCCCTTACATGAGAAGGTCACTAACATGCACAAAGGGGGATGTGAAGAAGGAAGCAGATAACATCTTGACTGGGAGTATGCTTTCCTGCACAAGGGGGTTCTTACTGGGGTGTAGACTTTTGTTATGTGGGTTAAACAGCTCTGGGTGAGAAAGAGCTTCTGTTAGTCTTGTAAAACACTTATGCTGTTCTGACTTTTCTGCCCATTTGACTCCCTGTCTCTGATCAGGTGCTAAACGAGTGCTAGAGCTTGACCGCTTTAAGGGGCAGGAGGGGAAGAAACATTTCCAAGACCTAATTGGCCATGGATCTGACTACTCCCTAAGTGAAGTACTGTGGGTCTGCGCCAACCTCTTTAGTGATGTCCAGTTCAAGATGAGCCATAAGAGGATCATGCTTTTCACCAATGAAGATGACCCCCATGGCAATGACAGTGCCAAAGCCAGCAGGGCCAGGACCAAAGCTGGGGATCTCCGTGACACAGGTCGGCATTCCCCTGTTCTTTTATTTTATTTCTTTGGCCGCATTGTGCAGCTTGTGGGATCTTAGTTCCCCGACCAGGGATCGGACCCGTGCTGCCTGCAATGGAATCGAGGAGTCTTAACCACTGGACCTCCAGGGAAGTTGCCCCCTGTTCTTTTAACTTGGCACTTAATTTTTTTTGCTTTTTTATAGCTGATGTCAAATAGTTGCTTTTCACCCTTCAGAGTAAAATGACACAATATAGTGAAGCTGGGGGAGACCCCTATGTAATATTCCCAGTGAAAATGACCAGGCCATTAGTTGTCTGAAGGGCTCTACCAGAGGGAGCTTTTCTTGACTTTAACGCCACCACAAATGGTGGTTATTTGAATAAGTTGTCTGAAGTCATTAGAGCAGCTGATCCCCTTAACCACTTTCTCTAAGTCCTGAAAATGTTTATAATCAATCTAGTTCTTTGGGAGCTTTTAACAGCATATTTAAACTTAACTGAAAAAAATTCTCCCTTGCTGGAAATTGTTTCCCCTCACTTTTGTCTATCCTCACTCCAGGTATCTTCCTTGACTTGTTGCACCTAAGGAAACGTGGGGGCTTTGACATATCCTTGTTCTACAGAGATATTATCAGCATAGCAGAGGATGAGGACATAGGGGTTCACTTTGAGGAGTCGAGCAAGCTCAAAGACCTGTTGAGGAAGGTTCGCGCCAAGGAGACCAGGAAGCGCGTGCTCTACAGGTAGGCACTAAGCCCGGGTCAGCTGCCCACAAGGCCCCTAACTGATCATAAGCAGTGCATGGCTTTGACCTCCCTGGCTCCTTAACTCTGGGCTGTACCACTGCCTCACTGTTCCTCTAAAAAAAAACTTGCTTTATTTCAGGATAGCACAAGCTATTTGCTTCTCTTTCTCTAGAAAGAGCTGGTATGCTGTTTCTCCAAAATAAAACAGCTCTCCACTCCTTTGGGGTAAACAGTTGCGGCTAACGGTATCCTCAGTTGCACTCACTAGGACATTGTCTGTTTTCTTCTCCTCTGTAAATTGGGGATAACGATAGTACCTGGTATAGAGCAAAAACTCAATAAATTTTAGTTATTATCATTGTTGTTAAAATTGTGTTATTCTAATTTCTTATAAACTTGAGACCAATAAGAACCAGGTGGTTGGATTATCTTCCTTTAGAGACCTTTGACATTAGAATCCTAAGGCCGCCTCAGTGTTTCTTCCTAAAGAGCATCAGACTTTCATTTTAGACTAGTTTCCTCAGTATAGAGGAATAAGACCCTTGGTAGTTTTTGAGCTGTTTTCAAGAGATTACTGACAATTCTACTAGAAAACCCATGAAATTAAATATTTTAAGGAAACCATGAAGCAGCTCATTGCTACAGTTATAGTTTTGTCATTGTTCTCCTTTTCCTCCCAGAAACTATTTCTCTTTCCTCAAACAATTACCCTGTCACCTTTTCTCCTTCCTGAAATGGTAGAATATTGTTACTACTATAATTTGGAAATCTACACATATTGGTGGGAGTGGCAGGGGGGATAAAATGGTGGTTAAAAGTAGATTCTAGAGTCAGATTGGCTCAGATTCTAGTCCTCTGCTGTGTGACCTGGGGTAAATCATGTAACTTCTCTGAGCCTCAGTAAAATGGGAGCAAAAATGGTCCCTCTTTATAGGGCTGCTGTGATGATTAAATGGAATAACATAGTAATTATAAACGTTAGCTATTCTTACTATTTTGTGAAAGAGTCATTATAGGATACTTGGTAGTAATAATAATAAATTGGAGCTATTTGAGAATTAATTGCCTAAGGCTTAGAAAATTATTACACTTATTCTTGCTATAATAAAATAATAGAATTATTTTATTGCATAATTATTATGTGCCAGGCACTGTCCTACGTTCTTTTTTTCTTTTTTTTGTGAATTTTAGAATTTTATTTATTTTTTATACTGCAGGTTCTTATTAGTTATCCATTTTATACATATTAGTGTATATATGTCAATCCCAATCTCCCAATTCATCACACCACCACTCCCACCCCTGCCACTTTACCCCCCTTGGTGTCCATACGTTTGTTCTCTACATCTGTGTCTCTATTTCTTTCTTTCTTTCTTTTAATAAATTTATTTATTTATTTTTGGCTGTGTTGGGTCTTTCTTGCTGCGTGCGGGGCATTGCGGTGCGCGGGCTTCTCATTGAGGTGGCTTCTCTTGTTGCGGAGCACAGGCTCTAGGGTGGGCAGGCTTCAGTAGTTGCAGCACGTGGGCCCAGTAGTTGTGGCTCGCGGGCTCTAGAGTGCAGGCCCAGTAGCTGTGGCGCGCAGGCTTAGTTGTTCCGCGGCATGTGGGATCTTCCCGGACCAGGGCTCGAATCCGTGTCCCCTGCACCGGCAGGCAGATTCTTAACCACTGTGCCACCAGTAAAGCCCTGTGTCTCTGTTTCTGTCCTGCAAACCGGTTCATCCGTATGTCCTAAGTTCTTTGTTAACATAATTACCTCATTTAATCTATAAAAACAGTGCTTTGAGTTGGGTTGAAACCTACCCATTAGTAACATTTATTAACCTTAAATCATTTCAGGTGAAGTTTAACATAAGCAGCTTGTTTTGTGCTGTGGGCTTTCACATTTTCCTTTCCTTGGTATGACACAAACCACATGATGTTATACTATAATTCTGTCTTAACTTAGAGTTATGACATTTTCAAGGTCGAAAGGTACCTTAGTTTATAGATGTGAACATTTAATATGGGGTGGGGGGACTAACCGATTGGCTCTTTTGGTTCAGAAATAGAAGCAAGGTCACTTGAAGCCTGAGGCCAGAGTAGACCACATTGACCAGTGCTTTTTCCCAGGATACTAAAATTTAGAGGGCACAACAATTTAAAAAAATTACTTTTGCAGATTGTGCAGTTTTTAAATTGGTTACATTTATTGTCAGCTCTCCTTCAGCAGCCTTTAAACAACTGTGTTTAACACCTAGTAAGCCGGAATGATTTAAAGTAGGAAGCCATCAAATGGGTGGTGTTATTACTGATGCCCATCTGTTACTAACACTCATCTCTGGGGCACATCATACATTACCAAATTGTACCATACCTACCAGGTGCTTGCTCCAGGAACCTAAAATTTCTAGTCAGGGCTCTGTCCCAAACCAATGTTCTTTCTACTGTGTGAACCAATATACCTTTGAATTAGCTATAACTTGTTTAAACATGTTCTCTTCTTTAAAGTAAATACTGCTAAACATTCTACAACAGTGAAGATTCGGTTATTAATTTAAGACTTTTCTTCTTTTGGGATAAAGGTTTTAAAGCTATAAATTTCCCTCTGAGCACTGATTTAGCTGCATCCTATACCTTTTGATATGTTGTGTTTTCACTTTCATTCAGTTCAAAATCATTTTAAATTTCCCTTGTGGTTTCTCCTTTGACCTCCTGGGTTATTCAGAATTGTATTGTTTACTTTCCAAATATTTGAGGTTTTCCCAGATTTCTCTCTGTTGTGGATTTCTAACTTAGTTCCATTTGGGGTAAAGAACATATTTTGTATGATAGCAATCCTTTTTATTTTTTTCTTTTTGGCTGCACTGCACAGCATGTGAGATCTTAGTTCCCTGACCAGGGATTGACCTGTGTCCCCTGCAGTGGAAGCGCAGAGTCCTAACCACTGGACCACCAGGGAATTTCCAATTTCAATTTTTTTAGATGCATTTAGACTTGTCTTGTGTCTCAGTATATGGTCTATCCTAGAGAATGTTCCGTGTGTGCTTGAAGAGAATGTGTAGCACAGGTTAGTTTTCTGTTCTGCCTTTTTTCCCCACAGTATTGTATTGTAAATATTTTTGCATGTTGTCTTTATTATAGAACACATTTTCAAGAGGTCCTATTTGTGCTGAAGATGTTGATATAAATACTCTGGAGCAAAATGTTATAAAGGAAAAGTACCTGAGCTTTGAATCAGACATACGTGAATTTGAATACCAGTTTTCATTAGTTGTATGTCTTTGGGCAAGTTAGATAACATCCCTGAGCCTCAGTGTTTTCATCTGTAAAAATGACAACAATAAGGTTATTGGGTAGCAAGTAACAGAAACTGACTCTTGACTAATTTCAGCATATTAAAACAAAATCCTGAACAGGGTGGGTAGTATAGGAACCAGGGTGGCACCAGGAATCTAGAAAATAAAAATTATTGACAGTGTCTTTGGGGTACCACTGTCAGCAAGCATCCCCTCCAACCGTGTCCTTTCTTGGTCACTGTTTAAGACCCACATTCTCAGGAGAATAAGTCTGATGGCTTGAGCCTGGGCCAGATGTGCCTATCTCTTGGTGAGGGTAAAGCATAGCACCTGGATGAACATTTTCCTAAAACTGCAGTGGGACAAGGGTGGTTCCCTAAGAAAAATTGGGGTTTCATTGTTAAAATAAGAGGGAAGGTATAGTAGACAAGCAGAAGCAGCAGATAATATAGTACTTATAGGATTATAATGATGATTAAATGAGAGAATAACTGTAAAGTGATTTAATAAATTGCTAGGCTCTATTTAAAAAATCATTATTTTTATCACGGTACGTTCTTTATCATTATTTTAAGGAGTTAACAATACATTCTGAGACTAATATTGTGCAATATAGACGCTGAGATGTATTACAGCAAACTCCATTGTATTATTAAAAAGCTTTATATTTGTATTCGAAAAGCTTAGGTTATTGGAGAGAATAAAACAAATCAGGGCTTGGGTGCCATGAATGAATTTTAGATAGGAAAATATACTCTTTCTGTCCAAATTAAAAAATTTTTCTCTCCTTCAGGTTGAAGCTTAAGCTCAACAAAGATGTAGCGCTCACTGTTGGCATTTATAATATGGTCCAGAAGGCTCTCAAACCTTCTCCAGTGAGGCTTTATCGGGAAACAAATGAACCAGTGAAAACCAAGACCCGGACATTTAATGTAAATACAGGCAGTTTGCTTTTGCCTAGCGACACCAAGAGGTCCCAGGTAGGTCTCTGCCTTCTTACTGAATTTTGTCCTGTTGAAGAGTTAACAGGGAGGGGAAGACATGATCAGCCTAACTAGTTAAATAACTTTCATGGGTGCATCTTTCTAGCCAAGCTAGAAAGTTGTTGTCATTACCCTTTGGAATATGGCATCTAGATCAGTAATACCTTGGGAGCTAGAAAGTTAGAGCCAGTATTTGGAAGAGGTGTCAGTGAAAACTTCAGCCCTCGATCAGCCAGCACATGCTACTCTGAGTCTTAACAGTCTAATTCCAGTACAGTGGCAGAAATTGTTTTATAGTTAACTAGGGAGATGAGCTAGGGAAAGAAAGTGTGTTAGGTGTGAAGTGCCCTCGTTTTAGGGAAATTTTTTTTTTTTGCCAAAGTAACCAGTTTTTCCTGTGCCTTGAAATGATACACTCATGCCTTTTTTTTTTTTTTTTTTTTTTTTTTTTGCGGTACGCGGGCCTCTCACCATTGTGGCCTCTCCCGCTGCGGAGCACAGGCTCCGGACGCGCAGGCTCAGCGGCCATGGCTTACGGGTCCCGTGGCATGTGGTATCCTCCCGGACCCGGGCACGAACCCGTGTCCCCTGCATTGGCAGGCGGACTCTCAACCACTGCGCCACCAGGGAAGCCCCCCTCATGCCTTTCTTAATCTGAAAGACATACTAAGGATGCAGAACATTCTCTCTCCTCATCCTCTCACCTTTGTTCGATCTATAGAAGGATTTTTTTTAATTGAAGTACAGTTGATTTACAAAGTTCTGTTAATTTCTGCTGTACAGCAAAGTGATTCTGTTATACATATATATATACATTTTAAATATTCTTTTCCATATGGTTTATCTCAGGATATTGAATGTAGTTCCCTATAGAAGGATTTGATATCTGAAATTAAAATCAAGTGAGTCATCCTTCCTTTTTAGTTATGCAAAACGTGGGAGAGCGATTTTGCCTAAGTTCAGGACCTAGAAGGATCAACTAAGTGACTAAAATTAAATATTATTTTGATTCAACCCTCGAGATGTCTTTTGGAGCACAAATTTCAGGCCAGAGTGTCTTGCCCTACTTTTCAGGAGGAGAAGACGACAAGAAATTTCTCCTTCCATTTTGGAAGTAGCTAGTTTTCCATGTTGGTTTATTCATAGGCAGTAGCTCTTCCGGTTACTAAGTTTCTTTCTTGATTAACTGTGCCTACAAAAAGTCTTAAGGGCTCTGTTTTTGTTTATAAAACCCAAATTTGACCTTTACTAAGTTCTGTTACTAATCACATATTTAGGATCCAAATGCAAATGTTAAAGTTTGGAAGTAGTATGTGTGTATGTGTGTGTGCGTGTGAGCCTCCTACACTGAGACCTAGCACAATACCTGACGTAGGTCCTCTCAATAAGTAGGTAAGGTGTGAGCATCCTTTGTGTGTCAGGGATGATGCTGAGGGTTTAGTACACATTAAATGAGGGAAGGAACAAATGCCTGAAGAGCATGGCCTTTAGCACCAGACAGATGTGGTACAGTTCAAAGCCCAATTCGGTTGTATACTCTGGAGCAAGTTACTAACTGTAGAGCCTCAGTTCACTCATCTGTAAAACAGAGTTTTTAACATTTACTGCCTAGGATTGTTACAGATGATAAACTGGGTGGCAAAAGTAAAGTGCCTGGCTGGCACTCAATACATGTCAATTGCTGTTGATAGGAGGAAGATGCCTCTGATGAGCCCTCTTCCTGCTCCTTAGAAGAAAGCTGATTTTAACTTGCTAGGGTCATATGGCAACCATTTCGCATCTCTGTGTATCCTCGCTATGTGGCCCTCGTTGTTCCCCTCCTATAGACCTATGGGAGTCGTCAGATTGTATTAGAGAAAGAGGAAACAGAAGAGCTTAAACGGTTTGATGAACCAGGTTTGATTCTCATCGGTTTCAAGCCCTTGATAATGCTGAAGAAGCACCATTACCTGAGGCCCTCCCTGTTCGTGTACCCCGAGGAGTCCCTGATAAATGGTAAGGGGCATAAACCAGGGATAAACGAATAAGCCACGCAGAAGGCAATTTACCGAGCAGCATTCCTAAATGGCTGCTGCTGGAAACTATACAGGATGTGTTACTGGGTGTTTTGAAAGTGTTTCACGCTCAAATAAATTTTGGAAATGTGGGACTAAACAAAGTTAAAGAGATTTCTTTAGGAACTATAATATACTGATAGCATTGTGAATATCCAGGAGGGGATATGGAATTAGCATATTTAAAACTTAGTTGCTATGAAATTCTTTCTTTGAGGCATCAGATAAAGAGTTCGGGAAAAACTAAAAAACAGACCTGGCTTCTTCCCTAGTGTTGCGATTAAGGATGATATGAACTTGGCCATTGGGTTTATTTGTGCTGTCCAGACCTATATTCCTCTGTGCTATAGCTAATGAACCTCCCAGATCTGACCTGACTGGTTTTCATTAGCAACTAGGGCTTATGTCATTAGCCTAATGATAGTAAAAGTGAACTGACAGTAATAATTCACACCCCTAAATGGAGTATTTGAGGTGCCCTTTCCTTTCTCTTCCTTTCTATGCCTCTGCTACCCTCACTTTACCCTCACCTCTGGGTCCATCACCCCTGAGCTATCAAAGTATCATAAATGCTTTTAAGAAAATGTGAGAGAAACTGTAGGTTTATAACGTGGGCTAAGAAAGGAGGAGACATCTTTAGGATATAGATCCCTGGGATGTTTGTTTTCCAGGGAGCTCAACCCTATTCAGTGCTCTACTCACCAAGTGTCTGGAGAAGGAGGTCATGGCAGTGTGCAGATACACACCCCGCCAGAATGTCCCCCCTTGTTTTGTGGCCTTGATGCCACAGGAAGAGGAGCTGGATGACCAGAAAATTCAGGTGACTCCCCCAGGTATGTGAAAGAGATAATTTCAGTGCTTCTGAACCTTGCTTAGCCTTGGAGTCATTCCTGGGATACCAACTCAGACCTGCTGAACCAGAGTCTCCAGGAGTGGAGCCTGGGAAATGTGTGTTTATAAGATTGCACAGGTGAATTTGATGAACAGCCAGGTAAGTCTGTCAAATATGGTTGTGCAGTGCACAGCATGTACAACTGTACAAGGCAGCTCTGCAGCCAGGGTTGAAAATTGACTTCATAGGGACTGTTTGCAGGTTACTGGCATAAGTTCATGCAGTCTCACTGCTGACACATTCTTTACTAAAAACCATTGTTTGGTACCCTTGTAATATTTAATGGTTGGTTTATCTCTTGTGTACACCAAAGCAGTGAGGTATCATGGAATGACTGTGGTTTTTTTTTTTTTTTTTTGCGGTATGTGGGCCTCTCACTGTTGTGGCCTCTCCCGTTGCGGAGCACAGGCTCCGGACGCACAGGCTTAACGGCCGTGGCTCACGGGCCTAGCCCCTCCGCGGCATGTGGGATCTTCCTGGACCGGGACACGAACCCGTGTCCCCTGCATCGGCAGGCGGACTCTCAACCACTGTGCCACCAGGGAAGCCCCTTTTTTTAAAAAAATATTTATTTATTTATTTGGTTGCACCGAGTCTTAGTTGCAGCAGGTGGGCTCCTTTGTTGTGGCTCTAGGGCTCTTTAGTTGCGGCTCCAGGGCTCCTTAGTTGCGGCTTCAGGGCGCCTTAGTTGCGCCTCACCTGCTCCTTAGTTGCAGCATGCGAACTCTTAGTTGCAGCACGCATGTGGGATCTAGTTCCCTGACCAGAGATGGAACCCAGACCCCCTGCATTGGGAGTGTGGAGTCCTATCCACTGCGATGCCAGAGAAGTCCCATGACCGTGGGTTTTGAAGTCACACTTGACTTTGTCTTACACTTATGTGTCTGAAAGCTCACTTTCTTTTGTTTTAGACCCTTCTCTGCCACCTGTTAGTTGGCCAACTTGGGCAAATAATTTTTTTTATTTTTATTTATTTATTTTTTTGTGGCCTCTCCCGTTGTGGAGCACAGGCTCCAGACGCGCAGGCTCAGCGGCCATGGCTCACGGGCCCAGCCGCTCCGTAGCATGTGGGATCTTCCCGGACCGGGGCACGAACCTGTGTCCCCTGCATCGGCAGGTGGACTCTCAACCACTGCACCACCAGGGAAGCCCTTGGGCAAATAATTTAACCTTTCTGTTTATGTTCCTTATCTGCAAAGATGAGAATTCTGGAACACCTTTCTCTCAAGGTCAGTTCACATTTGAAATAAGTTAATAAACAGATAAGTGCCTAGCACAAAGCAGCCAACAGATGACTACTAGTCATCCTTCTTTTTAAAAAATATTTATTTACTTATGGCTGTGTTGGGTCTTTGTTGCTGCGCATGGGCTTTCTCTAGTTGCGGTGAGCGGGGGCTACTCTTCGTTGCGGTACATGGGCTTCTCACTGCGGTGGCTTCTCTTGTTGCAGAGCACGGACTCTAGGCACGCGGGCTTCAGTAGTTGTGGTGCGCGGGCTCTAGAGCGCAGGCTCAGTAGTTGTGGTGCACGGGCTTAGTTGCTCTGCGGCATGTGGGATCTTCCCGGACCAGGGCTCGAACCCATGTTCCCTGCACTGGTGGGCTGATTCTTAACCACTGCGCCACCAGGGAGTCCCATCCTTCCTCTTTAGCCATGCTAATAAAAATTATAAAGTAAGTCTTTGAATGCGTTATATTTCCAACCCTGGTCATGTGAATGCTCAGGAACACCTTTTATGTCAGTTCTGACGCTTTGTCTCTCAGCTCTGTGCTGATGAAGCAGAGGCTCTCCAAGCCCCATTTCTCCTTTGCCAGCGGGCTCTCGGTGATGCTCTGTCAATAGTGGGTGCTAGAGGGAGACATTAGGGCCATGGAGAGCTAAGAGACTTCCTCTTGCTCAGTGCTGTTGGCATTGCCAGCAAGGGCTCTTCACCTGGCAGCAGCAGTGGGTTCCAGTCTCTAGATTTTTCAGTCTTTCTAGAGCCCGTCAGCAACTGGACAGGGTCAGGCTGGTAACCGTTACCTCTTCCCTTCTAGCACATGGTGGGGACTGGGGAGCAAAGGGGAGAGGTTGAAGCTCGGAGGAGGGGCCGACAGAGTTGGATGTAGCCCTCCAGGGAGGGGCACTGTCCACCTGGTTCTGGGTGTATGGAAAAAGCTGGTGGCTGAAAGCTGGCTGGGGCGACACTGGCAGGAACAGGAAGTACCTGAGAAGGAAGGAAGAAGTCTCCTTTCAGGTCCCCCTCTGGAGACTCCAAAGGGAGTCTGCTAGGCAGATGCTAACGGGAATCAGCTGGTAAAGGAGAAATGGGATTTGCAGGGTCCTAGCTCCAGCAGCACAGCACGCAGAAGGGTGAATTGGAGCTGAGAAAAAAACGACAGCTCAGGAGACTTCCCTGGTGGCACAGCGGTTAAGAATCTGCCTGCTGATGTAGGGGACACTGGTTCGAGCCCTGGTCCGGGAACTAAGATCTCACTTGCTGCGGAGCAACTAAGCCTGTGTGCCGCAACTACTGAGCCCGTGTGCCACAATGAGAGAGAAGCCCACCGTGCTGCAACAAAGAACCTGCTTGCCTCAACTAAGACCCAATGCAGCCAAAAATAAAATAGATTAATTTTTTTAAAAAAGGAATTAAAACGATAGCTCAGTGACTGAAACCTTTCGTTGAGTCAAATCTCCGGAAACGTATTTTTCTTTCTTCTTCAGGCTTCCAGCTCATCTTCTTGCCCTATGCTGATGACAAACGGAAGGTGCCCTTTACCGAAAAAGTCATGGCAAACCCAGAGCAGATAGACAAGATGAAGGCTATTGTTCAGAAGCTCCGCTTCAAGTACAGGTGAGTGATGGGTCATTCACAGGCTTTCTTCTGGAACTGCCTCCTGAGTTGAAGGTCGTACTGGAGATTTGAGTTAAGCATAAACCAAGAGAATGTGATTGTATCCTTTTCCATTAACTGATAGATAATTAGTCTTTAGAAGCTATAGGGAGAGTGGAAGTTCTTTTATTGAAGGCTCTGGAATTGTGCTAAGGGTTCACAGCTGGTTGACCTGCTGTGTTGTGCTTAGAAAGCCAGGTTGGTTAGTTGAACAAGCTCCGCAAAGCAGCAGTAAGGAGAAGATTCTTGGTTGGCCTTCTCCTTGACTGTTTGTTGTCACATGGTGAGTAAAAGCAAGTAAATCCAGTGTAAATTGTCATGGGGTTGAAGAAATGATTATATAATGCACATAGACCATCTCCCAGAACCCGCATAAGGTGACACCAAACGTAATTTTTTTCACATTTCGTCTTTTGTCTCTGGGCTACTTCCCTAACTCTTCCTACCTGTGGGCAAAGTGACCTTCTTTCTCCAAAGGAAACCTCCTGGTGTAGTCCTTTGTTGGGCAAATGGAAGCATTGTTAAGGTTCTACCATGTGCCATGCACTGTTCTAGATACAGCTCCAACAGTATCTCATTTATTCTTCATGAGAACCCTGAAAGTTTTGGTGCCCATTTTACAGGTAAAGAAACTGAGGCTTAGAGGAGTGAGGCAGCTTGCCGAGACTCACCCACCTAGAAGGAACTGGAGCCAGGATTCAAGTGTAGGACTGTATGCCTCTAGATTCTTTCTGTTTTTACTTTCATGTTCTATCGAGTATGGGAAGAAAGAATAATCAGGTTCGTTGTCTCCTCACCTCCCACCATCCCTCTGTTGTGTTTTCTCTGTACTTACCTCCTCTGGCCCTGCCTCCTCTGTTTCTGTCTCTGTCCACAGCTTCCAGTGACAGACAGGTGGGCAGGTATTGTTTTGCTTTAAAATTTGCTTCTGGATCCCTAGCATTGGACAATAAACTGAAAATTGGAAAGAGAGAAGTTGATTCAAGAGATAAGATTCCCAACTGTTTTACCTGGGGTGTATTTCTCAGCTGACCTTGGGCCTTCACTGTCTCAGCTGGGTTTTTAACTTTATTATTTTATTTTTTAAATGTTTAAATTTTTATTTTTTAACTTATTCATGTCACTGTTAATGTTTTAACAGAAGTGACGGCTTTGAGAACCCAGTGCTGCAGCAGCACTTTAGGAACATGGAGGCCTTGGCTTTGGATTTGATGGAGCCCGAACAAGCCGTGGATCTGACACGTAAGGAGGCCGTGACTGAGTTGAGAAGTTCTTTTCGTGGGAGGCTTTTGTGTCCATTTTACTCTGGACCAGTAATATGGATGCATTTCCTAGCACCCTCTAAGTACACAACCTTGTGGTCCAGATCATCTCTGCCTGAGAGGTTTCCTAGACCAGCTTAGATTGCCTGGGAACGGGTTTGGCCGATTCTGCAGTAAGAGGAGGAGGAAGTGCCAGGCTTCTGAGACCTGCCTCTGAAGTAGACCATCCATGACTACATGTTGGTAAAAGTTAAAAACAAAAATCTGCAACATTTATTGAGTGCTTACTGTGTGCCAGGCCTTGTTGTCCTGTGTGTTGACTCATTTATTCTGCGTGACTATGAGGTAGGTTCTGTCACTGTCCCTAGTTTGCAGGGAAGGGAGTGATTTGCACTAAGTAGTAAGCGGTGGCTGTCGGCGCAGAATCCAGTGAGTCTGGCCCAGAGCCCTTGCTCTGAACCACTATGCTTACCTTACTGCTGCTCCATCAGACGGCGTGCTCTGCCCTGAGAAAATGGACCTCGTTACCCAGCATGGAGGACATTTGCCTGGCCTCCCAGGCTGAGGTGTTCTGAGCTCTCTGCTGGTCCCTTTCTGGATTGTGGTTCTCTCATGTACTTCATAAGAGGATGCATGAAGTTTAGCAATGTAAGTAAATACCCACTGGAAAACAGATTGGATTTAATAAAGACTCTTGACAGAGGTTGAAAAGATCAGAACAGTTAGTTCGGCCTGCTTAGCTTCCCAGTTATTATTGATCTCTTTCATGCTAGCGCCAGCATTAAAAGCATGAGTTGTTGGACGTGTGTCATGGTGGTGACTGTCAGCTGGGCCTGGCAGAAGAAGAACCCTTGAGTGAGGCAGCCCATCTCTTCCTTTATGGCCTTTAGGCAGATCAGGAAGTCAATTGCCTAGTCTCTAGCAAGATGGCTAGAGACACAGACTTTGGAAACACTCGATGTAGGTAGATTTGAATCCCAGCTCTCTGGCACTTATTAAATTGCGTGGCCTTGGAACAATACTTAATCTCACTGAAGCCCAGTTTCCTTATTGGTAAAATGGGGATAATGATCTGTCCTTACAAGGTGTTAACAAAATATAGGCCCTGACACTCGGGAAGGTGCTCAGAACACAGTTGTTCTCCTTTATTCCACAGCCGTGTGCTCTACTTACTAGCGCCCCAGCCTCTTGCATTCTCTCTTCTGGCCCTATACTTTTTGGGAGAAAGTCTTGTTTTTCTCTTTCTACTTCTATTTTTCAAAAACAATTTTGGCTGCTGTAGTGTTTCTTGTAAGCTAAATGTCTCAGGTTCCTGTCTTTAGCCCTTTCTTCTCTCCTTTCTGTTGGTTATGTTATCCACTCCCATAGCCTTAAGTATGACCTCATGCCCACAACCCCCAAACCTGTATCTCCAGCCCTGTCCTTTCCTCTAAGCTCTGGCCAAAGCTTCCAGCTGCCCAGGTGACATCTATTGAAGGCCCTGGGTATCCTACTGCTCAAACATGTGACCCCTTTGATTCTTTGTTCTTTCACATCCCTAGCTCAGTTCTAATCAAATGTGTCTGCTTCTCTGTGACACAATAAGGCTTTCTTTTTTTTTTTTCCCCAGTATGCGGGGCTCTCACTGTTGTGGCCTCTCCCATTGTGGAGCACAGGCTCTGGATGCGCAGGCTCAGTGGCCATGGCTCACGGGCCCACCCGCTCTGCGGCACGTGGGATCTTCCCGGACCGGGGCACGAACCCGTGTCCCCTGCATCGGCAGGCGGACTCTCAACCACTGTGCCACCAGGGAAGCCATAAGGCTTTCTTTTAATAAATACCTTATCAAAGACTCAAAATTGTTTTCTTTCTTCTTTTGGCTTTGTCACACCATACTGTTTTGGTTTTTCTCCTATGCCTGTGGAGACCCTAAGACTTCTTTGCTGGACCTGCTTCCCTTTTTTCTCCTCTAACATGGAAGTGTGCTGGGTGATCCTGGGCGCCATCTTTCTCTGTCCTCTCACTTGTCCCTGCATGGCCTCATCAGGCTACATCAGTGGTTCTAAGTGTGGTCCCTGGACCAGCAGCACTGGTATCTCCTGGGAACTTGTCAGAAATGCACCTTTTGAGCCCTACCCCAAGCTGACTGAATTTGAAACTCAGGTTGAGGCCTAGCAACGTGTGTTTTATTTTATTGTATTTGGCCATGCCGTGTGGCATGTGAGATCTTAATTCCCCAACCAGGGGTCGAACCCGTGCCCTCTGTATTGGAAGCTCAGAGTCTTAACCACTGGACCGCCAGGGAAGTCCCCAGCAACATGTGTTTTAACAAGCCTTCCCGGTGATTCTGAGACATGCCACTGCCTCTAGCACATTGGTTCTCAACTTCGGCTATACAGCAGACTCATCTGGGGGACTTAAAAAAAAATCTGGCTCTTTAGGCCTCACCCCAGACCAATTAAATAAGAATCTCCTGGGCATCAGTACTCTTTAAAAGTCCCCAGGTTGAGAACCAAAGCTCTAGTAGAGATTCCTGTAACCTGGAACATGGGGCTTCTGACACGGTGGTAGCGCAGTTTGACGGTGACGTTCTGCCGTCTTGTAGGTACATACACCACAGGGCAGGAGCTCCCCTCTGTACTTGGCAAACGTGGTCACATGAGGAGATGAGATATTCATCTCATCATGCTTGTCCTTGATGTGACCCAGCTCTCAGCAAAAGCTCTACAAGCTATACAGCTGTAAGAAAGGAAATAAAAATATTATCTTTCCCCCAGAGCTTCCTTTGCCTATTGCATTTGCCTTGGGGAATGTTCCTGCCACCCCAACCACTCACCTCCTCCCCCACCCACCCCCACACCTCTTATTCCGTCCATAAGTCCTGCCAGTGCTGTCACTTCTCAAGTTACAGTCCCATTGCCACCCCCCAGCCCCCGGCCGCCCCACTCACACACACTGCTTCAGCCTTCTGTCTCACCTTCCGTCAATTCATACTCTACACAGCTGGCAGGCAGGGTGATCTAAAACGTCCATCTGATCACGTCGCTCCCCTGCTTGTAGACCTTCAAAGGTTCCCCACTGCTTTTAGGATAAGGCCTAATTCCTGGGCAGGCATTCGAGGCTTCCATGACCTCGCCATGCTTGTCTTTCTAGCCTCCTTGCTGGTCCTGCCCATCTCACACCCTGCCTGCAAGCTGTGTGTCACTGGCTGTCTCTCACCCCTGTGCCTTCTGCTTAGACTAGTATCTGCCTGAGGAAGGACACTCAGCTTGCGAGACTGTGCTGCACAGAGTCCTTCCTGACCCCTCCTGTGTTCCAGCGTGCCCTGTACGGTCCCTTTCTTCATGGCACTGTGCAGCTCTATTGCATTGGTGTTTTTACCACCTCCTTATGGCGCGTGGACTGTAAGCCCTGAGGGTACAGACTCTTGTTTGAATCCACAGGGTCTAGCCCAGTTCTCAACTCTACCGCTTCCCAGCTGTTTGACTTCAGGAAAGTCATTTAACGTCTCTGATTTCCACCTCTGTAAAACGGGAAGACAGGTTTACCTACCCCAGAGATTGTTAGGAGGATTAAATAAAAATAATAAGTTTAAAGCATTTAGGAGAGTGCCTGGTTGTCAAAAGTGCTCATTAAGTACAATTGTTAAAAGCTACTTGGTAAATGTTAGACTTCGAGCAAATGTATTCATGGCCAGCTCAGCTGACTTGTGGACCCTCCCCCATCTCAGCAACTAAGTATTTTCTCCTCCGGTCCCAGTAGAGTTGAACTGGACAGGAAGCCAGGGCTTGTGACTTCACAGGCCACTCTTCTTGTGTTTTTATTTTCTAGTGCCCAAGGTTGAAGTAATGGACAAAAGACTGGGCTCCCTGGTGGATGAGTTTAAGGAACTTGTCTACCCACCAGATTACAATCCTGAGGAAAAAGTTCCCAAGCGAAAACAAGGTAAGGAGCTGGGTGTGGACGTTCAGTGGGTTTTTGGGTTTTTTTTGGTTTTGTTTTGCTTTGTTTGTTTTTCTTTTTGGCCACACGTGCGGCTTGCAGGATCTTAATTCACTGACCAGGGATTGAACCCAGGCCCTCAGCAGTGAACTCGTGGAGTCCTAACCACTAGACCGCCAGGGAATTCCCAGTGGGTTATTTTTTGGACCACCAGGGAATTCCCAGTGGGTTATTTTTTAAAGTTGCCTTTATAGTCCTATCACAGAGGATAATGTCCTTTCAGAAATTGCTATACAAACCTACATATTTACTAACACAACATATTTCAGCACAAATGAAACAATATTCACATTGTTTTCTAGTTTATTTTGTTACTCAGCTATATATGTTGGGCAGGTATTTATATCTACACTCACATATCTACCTACTTAAAAAAAAATAAGGCTACAGAGTACTTCATTGGATAGATATACACAATTTATCCAACCAGACCTTTACTGATGGATAGATATACTGCAGTGAACAGGAACCACCATTGCATACTGGTGTGAGCAGTTACACAGCATAAATTCTTAGCAGTGGAATTGCTGGGTCAAGGTGTAGGCATTTAAATTCTGATAAGAATTGCCAGTTTGCCTCTGAAAAAGTGATAGTTTATACCCTATCCAAGAAGGGATTGGTGTGTTTCCCTACACTCTCACCAATTGTAGACTTTATATACTTTAAAAATTATATATTCACAAAAAAATAATAGAGGGAAAATGTATTCTGTTTTGATTTGCAGTTCTTCAGTTATGAGTAAGATGTAGTTTTACTGGACTTTTTTTTTTCTGTGAACTCCCAGTTTGGGGCTTTAATCATTTTTCCTACTAGACTGCCCTTTTTCTTACTGCTGGACCCAAACAAAATGTCTTTACTGCGACTCTCACATTTTTCAGGACAGCACGTTGTGAATTCCTCAGCATTTGGGAATAATTCTGTCTTAGGTTGTAATCCTTTTAACTATCTTTGCTCAAGTAAAGCCAAATTTGGGCCTTGCTTGCCCCTGAGACCCATGAGGAAGTGTAGCTATGAGAGGTTAGGTTTGTGGTCATTGCGCTTTCTCCCTTTTGCATCAGAAGTGATTCCTCCAGTGCCCTGTGTGCTGTCAGAACTTTTCACACCTGCATGAGTGTGATTTATATATTTGTTTATCTCACTCAGCCTGCATGTCCTTATCACTTAGCATAGCGCCATGGTACTGACAAGGTGCTCTGTAAATGCTTTTTGTTTTGTTTTGTTTCCAGTTTTATTGATATATAATTGACATACACGATTGTATAAGTTTAAGGTGTACAACATAATGGTTTTCTTAAAAATAAATTTATTTATTTTTTGAATTTTTGGCTGCATTGGGTCTTCGTTGCTGCGCGGGCTTTCTCTAGTTGTGGCGAGCAGGGGCTAGTTTTCATTGCTGTGCACGGGCTTCTCGTTGCGGTGGCTTCTCTTGTTGTGGAGCATGGACTCTAGGCGCACGGGCTTCAGTAGTTGTGGCATGTGGGCTCAATAGTTGTGGCGCATGGGCTTAGTTGCTCCACGGCATGTGGGATCTTCCTGGACCAGAGATCGAACCCATGTCCCCTGCATTGGCAGGCGGATTCTTAACCACTGCACCACCAGGGAAGTCCCTACAACATAATGATTTGACTCACATATATCATGAAAAGATGACCACATTAGGTTTAGTGAACATCCAGCATCTCATGTAGATACAACATTAAAGAAATAGAAAAAAAATTTTTTTTTCCTTGTGATGAGAACTCTTAGGATTTACTCTCCTAACAATCTTCATATGTAACATACAGCAGTGTTCATTATCTTTATCACGTTGTACATTCCATCCCTAGTACTTCTTTATTCTGTAAGTGGAAGTTTGTACCTTTTGACTGCCTTCACCGAGTTCTCCTTGCCCCTACTCCCCACTTCTGGTAACCACAAATCTGATCCCTTTTTCAATGAGTTTGTTTGTTTGTTTGTTTGTGAAGTATTATTGACCTCCAACACAATGTTAGTTTCTACATAGCATAGTGATTCAATATTGCTATACATTTCAAAATGATCACTGCGATAAGTCTAGTTGTCATGTGTCACCAAACAAAGATGTTACATAATTATTAACTATATTCCCCACAGTTTACATTTCATTCCTGTGACTCATTTATTTTGTAACTGAAAAAAGCTTATACTCTTAATCTCCCTCACCTATTTCTCTCCTCCCCTCAGGCCGCCCTGGCAACCATCTATTTGTTCTTTGTATCTATGACTCTGTTTCTGTTTGGTTATGTTTTTTCATTTGTTTTGTTTTGTAGATTCCACATATAAGTGAAATCATATAGTTTTTGCTATTCTCTGTCGGACTTATTTCACTTAGTATAATGCACTCTAGGTCCATCTGTGTGGTCACAAATAGCGAGATTTCATTCTTTCTTATGGCTAATATTCCATTGCATATATGTGTACCACATTTTCTTTATCCGTTCATCTATTTATGGGCACTTAGGTTGCATCCATATCTTGGCTGTTGTAAATAATGCTGCAGTGAACATAGGGGTGCATGTATCTTTTTAATTAGTGTTTTGTATTTCTTCAAATAAATGTCCAGAAGTGGAATTGCTGGCTTGTATGGTAGTTTTGTTTTTAATTTTTGAGGAATCTCCATACTATTTTCCATTAACCAATTTACATTACCACCAATGGTACATGAGGGTTCCCTTTTCTCCACTCTTGTTATTTGTTGTCTTTTTGATAATAGCCATTCTGACAGGTGTAAGGATATCTCACTGTGGTTTTGATTTGCACTTCCCTGATGATTAGTGATGTTGAGCATCTTTTCATGTGCCTGTTGGCCATCTGTATTGTCTTCTTTGGAAAAATGGACTTTCAGGTCCTCTGCCCATTTTCAATTGGGTTGTTTGTTTTTTTGATGTTGAGTTCTTTGCATGTTTCAGATATTAATCTCTTGTCTGATACGTCATTTGCAAATATCTTCTTCCATTCAGTAGGCAGCCTTTTTGTTTGTTGGTAGTTTCCTTTGCTGTGTGAAAGCATTTTAGTTTTATATAGTCCCATTTGTTTATTTTTTCTTTTGTTTCCCTTGCCTGAGGAGACATATCCAAAAAAATATTGCTAAGACTAGTATCAAAGTGCATACGGCCTGTGTTTTCGTCTAGAAGTTTTATGGTTTCAGGTCTTACATTTAATCTTTATTTTTTAATCTTTAAAAAATCTTTAATTTATTTTGAGGTCTTTTTAAAATATGGTCTGAGAAAGTTTGATTCTTTTGCATGTAGCTGTCCAGTTTTCCCAACACCATTTATTGAAGAGGCTGTCTTTTTCCCATTGTATATTCTTGCTTCCTTTGTCATAGATTTATTACCCATATAAGTGTGGGTTCATTTCTGGGCTCTCCATCTGTTTCATTGACCTATGTGTCTTGTTTTGGGGCCAATATCATACTATTTTGATCACTGTAGCTTTGTAGTATAGTTTGAAAGTATAAATCTTTTCGAATGAAGAAAGGAAGGAAGGAATGACTTGCTCACCCAGCGTGATCAGCAGTTTCGGGTAAACTGATAGGATTCACTACTTTTAACTCCCTCCTAGACATGATACATTTTTTTGTGTTTAACTGAAGCTGCCTTATCAAGACATCTGTCTTCCCCATGGTGTTCTAGGTAGGCATCACAGCTTTATGGAAGATGGTTAACTGCAGCCCAGATCATATGAGGGCCCCCGTGCAGTGTAGCTGGGATCCCACTGGTAGCATTTCCAATCACTCCCACCTGACCTGTTTCCCCAGGTGATGAAAATTCTGGAAGCAAAAGGCCCAAGGTGGAGTTATCTGAAGAGGAGCTGAAGGCCCACGTCAGCAAGGGCACACTGGGTAAGCTCACTGTGCCCACACTGAAGGAAGCCTGCAGGGTGTACGGGCTGAAGAGCGGGACAAAGAAGCAGGAGCTGCTGGATGCGCTCACCAAGCGCTTCCAGAAGGCCTGACCAGAGACCATACAGCCAGTTACCCTTCCACATTGCAGCCAGGTGGCCTGGTTTTGTTTTTATCAAGTTAAAACATGTTTCTCCTGAGCCAGGGAGAGTCTGGCTGACAGAAGCCAAGGACTTTGTTTATGAGACTTTCTGTTGTCATGGAGAGAGCATTGCCATCTCACTTTGCTGTGCCTTACTCTACTGTCTGAATAAAGAGCCCTAACTTTGTACTATATATTGTTCTATAGTATAAAAGAGAAAGATGTGTCTGCTTTGCATCCAAAGATGCCATTGGCTGTTAGCTTAATTTTCTCTCCCACTGGGAACGCATTTCATCACAATGGAAACAAAATGAATATCCATGAGAGTAGGGAAGAGTGTGACAATTAAGGACAGGTGAACATAGTTTAGGAATGACAAGCCCTAGTAAGGTTATATTCTCCTGATCCTCTGTCCTCCCACCTGTTTTCCTTTAAATGTGTCATATTGAAGATCTAAAGATCAGATTTCAGAAGTAATAAGGAGGCAACATTTCTAATTCTGGTACCACTTGCTTCATGAGTAAATAGCAACCCCCCCTCATGTTGTATTTTCTTAATGTGACACTCAAGTATAAGAAGAAGAGATACACATTTTCTGTTCCCTGAGAGTTTGGGTTGCAGTGTAAGTGAAATGAGTTATTCCTGTTATTTTCAGGGTGCTGTAGGAAGTTCGAGAAGATACAGAGAGGTTCGATGGGAGAAGGGAAAAAGGAAGGGTCCTAGTGTCAGGAAAAGAGGAAGAGGAGGGGAGTGTCTGTCTTTGTTTTCTTCCCCTTCCCATCCCTCTATCCTCCCTGCCCCTTTCCTGCTCTTCCTGCAGCTATTGCTTTTGAAGAATTAGCCTGAGAGAAGGAAGGAGATGGAAGGGTTTTTATCCTCTGAGGATGGCTTGTAGGTCCTGTGTCTTTCAAAACTAGAATGAGCATCTCATGAGGTGAGTGTTGGAGGGGTCAGATTACTCTTGGAAGAGTTTTTTCAGTTTTGGATTCTTTGCTCTGATTTTTATAAGTTGTTTTTTTTTTAACTTCTTTTTGCTTGTTTTTGTTTGGAAAGGAGATGTTATGTTCTTGTTTGGATTTCTTTCCTTATCTGGGGGAGAGGGAAAATAATTCTTCAATTAGAAGAGATGCCTTTGAGGATACAGCAAAATAATGCAAAACCATTTAATATAGTACTTATTCATTCTTGTTGTTGAGAAATAAGACCATCCCCGTTAAATGAAGCATGCTTGGAAACTCTGGGTTCTAGAGAGGGTTACTAATACCACAAAGGTAGATTAGAATCAGGCTAGTCACCATAAGTAGGAAGGTAAGAATGAGTACCACTGCTGGGCCTTTGTTTTCAAGCCTGGATTTCTTGGCTAGTGAGGAGGAAACCTAGTGAGTCCCAAGCTTCTCTGTGCACTCCTGCAGGACCTTACCCACGTCTAGGCTCCTTCTCCTCTGTTCTATTTACAAAATGGAGAGAAGGAAAGAGTTCAAGGGTCCAACAAAGCACCAGTAATATGAATGTTAGAAAAATAACCACTGAGGTCTGTGATAAAGAGCAACTGTGTGATCTCAGTTTCTCTGTAAATTAATGTTTGCCTTCTCTGCTCTTGAGCTCCCCAGGAGAGAAACATCATGTCCAGACATAATCTGGTTGGGCTTTTGTAAACTCACAAGTCAGATTTAGTAAATTTGCATCTTGGCTCCATCACGTACGTACAAGTGACCACCGGCAATTTACCTGGCATTTTCAAGCCTCAGTTTCATCATATTTATAATAATAATAATAACGTGGAATATGGAAAATAAATGAGAAAACATGTAAATGGGCACGGTACTCAATAGGCACTAACTCTTATCCTTCTAACTTCTCTGGCTGCAAACACGCTTCGCTCCTGCAGGTGCTGGTGACGCGCGGCCAATGATTGGACGAAACGGCCTGCTTATGCGCGCTGCAGACCTCGCGGCTAGGAGCCACGCGGGTAGGGAAGGGCAGGGAGGTGCATCCGCCTCTGACCGGCCAGCGGCGGGGGCGGGGGCAGGGCAAGAGCTGGAGAGCACGGATGGATGTTTGGCCAAAACTGCACCAAACAAGCATATGTGCATAGGTGCATATGCCTCCTGGCTGAATGCAGAGGGAACATCTGTAATTTTTTTTTAAAATATTTATTTGGTTGCGCTGGGTCTTAGTTGCAGCTTGGGGGCTCCTTAGTTGCAGCTCACTGGCTCCTTAGTTGTGGCATGTGAACTCTTAGTTGCGGCATCCATGTGGGATCTAGTTCCCTGACCAGGGATCAAACCCCAGTCCCATGCACTGGGAGCGTGGAGTCTTAACCACTGTGCCACCAGGGATGTCCCTTAATGTTTAGTTTTTTTTGTCCTGTTTTGTTTTTTAAATTTTTATTTTTTGGCTGCGTTGGGTCTTCATTACTGCACGAGGGCTTTCTCTAGTTGCAGCAAGCAGGGGCTACTCTTCATTGTGGTGTGCAGGCTTCTCATTGCAGTGGCTTCTCATTGTGGAACACGGGCTCTGGGCACACGGGCTTCAATAGTTGCGGCACGCAGGTTCAGTAGTTGTGGCACTCAGTAGTTGTGGCTCACGGGCTCAGTAGCTGTGCCTCGGGGGCTGTAGAGCACAGGCTCAGTAGTTGTGGTGCACAGGCTTAGTTGCTCTGCAGCATGTGGGATCTTCCCAGACCAGGGCTCAAACACGTCCCCTGCATTGGCAGGCAGGGAAGTCCTGTAATGTTTAGATGTAATGTCTTATTAAAAAATTAGAAGAAAAGTAACGCAGGACCGTGAAATCTGGGAGAGATTAGTCATCCACTTCCTCTCCCTCCCCCTCAAACAGAAATTCCAACCTCAAATCTGTTTTGGAGGGAAAGCACATACCTGTTATTCTCGACCAGCAGCTATGATGACTATCCAGCCTTTCTGGTTTGAGCCCAAACTATCCCTGAATGTGTAATCTTCATTGTAACTGACTGCCTCATATATGAAAGCCAGTCCTACCTAGAATTTACTTCTGGGTACTCAAGCAGCTGGGACCCTCTCACCTGTGGGCCCTGCTAGCACTTCCGGCATTCTTTGTCACCAGAGCAATTTTGACATGGTCGTATTTATTGGTGCTGTTTTGACAAGACTGCCTCAGCTTTTCTTCATCTACCTCCCAACCTTAGTTGTCTATTGCTGTGTAACAAATTACCCCCAAAACTGTTGGCTTGAAAACAACAATAACCACATATTCTCTCACCATTTTTGTAGATAAGGAATTTGGGAAAGAAGAGGCTGGGTGGTTCTGGCTTGAAGTCAGTCATGAGGCTACATTCAAGATGTTGCCCAGGGCTGCTGTCATCTGAAAGCTTGACTGAGGCTGGAGGATCCACTTGCAGGGAGGCTGTATTAATCACATTTTTTATTTTCTGTATTTTATGTTTTGACATAAGCTGCGGGGCCTTACAAATGGATGGAGAGACTGCTCCTCCCAGGGCTAGGTAGTTACTAAAGCCAGTTAAAAACTTACTTGGGAGCATACCTCTCACGCAAGCGAAGCACCTCCTTTATCTACGTCACACACCAAGCCAGTATTGCCCTTGCCTTAAATTATCAGGGCAGGGTACCAGGCAACTAGAGACCACCCTTATAGCCCAAAGCCCACCAGAATTGTTCAAATTAGCCAATCCTAAGCTGTTTACTCTGCCCTGCCTTGCCTTTGCCAAAGAAACCCCAATAAAGGCTGTGGCCTAAGCTTTCCCCTTGCTCCTGCTTCTGCTGCCTGACCAAAACCTGGTGTTTTCCCTGTGGTCCTGCATGGCACACCGGCACCCTTCTCCTGGGAAAAGTAATAAATTCTTCTTTCAGTAGTACCAACTTCTCCATGTCATCACTCTGTCACCTCTATGAATTAAAATACCTCAAGTACAGATGAGATAGACTCATTTCCTACAGCTGGTAGTTGGTGCTGACTTTTGGCTAGAGGCCTCAAGGCACTTTCCACAGGCTGCTTAGAAGTCTTTATAACATGGCTATGATTTCTGTCACAGTCAGTGATCCAGAGACATGAAGGCAGAAGCTGCAATGTCTTTTATAGAAACTTGAAAGTCACATGTTATTCCATAATACTGAGTCCTGCAGCTAGACCAGCTCTGAGTTGGTGTAGACTGGTCTCAGAGCATTCACACAGAAGGGCATGAATTCTAGGGGGTGGCTGTGTGTGTCACTGGGGAACATTTTAGAGGCTGGCTGCCACAGGGTATCACGGAAAATACTGACTTGCTACTTAAAAAATTTTTTTCCTTCAGAAAACAAGCAATTATACCCCCCCACCTCCCTCAAGCAGATATATCTGCTAAAGCACATTCTTGACTTTTCAAAATGTAACTTAGCTGACACTGAGAAGAGGAACCCAGGGATACTAAGTGCCTAGAACAAGCTCCTCTCCCTCCCTTCCTTGTCACATCAGTTTGGGATTAAAGATAATGGAAATGCATTGTTTAGTACTTAAGAATACTACAGAATGAATAATCTCTTTAACAAGACCATTACTGTTAATGTAAAAATATTCCTTAATCATAGGTCCTCTTGAGAAAAGAGTTTCAGGAAACTTATTCTAAAACAGAAATTCCTAACCAGTGTTTGAGGTCAGAGGACCCTTTGAGGCCTAATGGATTCTCTCTCCAAAATAAAATGTTTACACACAAAAATTTGCAACCTACTTCATAGGTGACTGAATGGAATTACTAGATTTCCTTCTTGCTTGCATGTCTAGGCTTTAGGAATTATTCATTCTACACTTTTGGAGCATCAGTGTTAGGGCGCTGCTGCAGGTGCTAGGGGATCACAGTCACACAAGTTCCTAATGAGGGCAATAATCAGAAAACAACCTCAGATATTAGCTAAGGACAGGTTAAAAAACAGAATGTTACAGTGCTAGGGGTAAAGGAAACATGAGATGTAGCTAGGAAAGGCCCTTAAAAAGTGGTACTTGAATTAAGACTAGCATGAGGAGAAAGCCACTAGTGCAGTAAAGGAATACCAAGTACAAAGAATCTGAGAAACAGATTTGAAGTGTTCAAGAAACCAAATATGAAACACTGAGCAAAGACAGAACATGGCAGAGAGGCAGACACAAGACACACAGCAGAGCCATTAGGAACAGAGAAGAGTCATGGAGTTTTTTCGGGTGATCACAAATCGATGCCCTG